AAATGGTGTCTTGATGGTGAGAAGGGTGTTGAATATAAGAAATCACATAGTAGTTTTAATTAGGTGAGCTGTTTGTTTGTGATGACTGCGCATGTGTGAATTGACTTATATTAAGTGTGTGGTGTCAGGAAGCTTGGGGAGCTCAGTGTTTACACAATTTGAGTACCTAAAACACACACACACACACTATTAAAAAACAATTTTGTTGTTTTATATTTCCTATTAGAAGTTATTGTATCAAAATATGCTATTACTGATTTCTTTTCTGACCACTCTCACAGTGACATTGTAGTAGCAGCCATCTCCCCCTGCCCTCTATAACAATCACACACTACTCTCCAGCAACCTACATTTACTAAATTCATTGGCTGAGAATTTGTTTTTTTCCTTTTTAATTCTGCTGTGAATCCGGCCTGCTGTAATGGTCTTGTTTTAGACCTCACTTTACCAAACATTTCCACACATTAGATAAAATCTTATTGTATTTTCATTGTTGTTTACATGTATGATATTATCCCAGTCCTTCTCATATATTTAATTTAACAATTTTAATTGTCTACAGCTTTAAACCTATTTAAATCAACTATCAAAATAATTTCAAAAAAGTCATTTGGAAAAGTAACATTTAAACCTATTAAGTGGCTAATTTGAATAGTTTTACTAGTTAATAATTCCTGTTTCAAAAGCTGCTTCCAAACGTCATAGTTTAATCTTGATCAAGATTAGCATCTAAATGTTGTCGTATATAGCTTTAAAGTGTTTACGGACATATATGTCAGTTAAAGATGTTTCATTTCATACGAAGCATTTGGTATTCTTCGATTGACACCATGAATAAATTCATTTTCGATACGATATTCAATAATTATACAGCTGAGCAAAAATCTGTTCTAGTTTTAGAATCGATTTGATCAAACCAAGTGGTAGATTTTCATATTGTTTAAATCTCTCTGACTTGATGACTCACTTATTAACATTTAATCCGAATCTGACGTCATATGCAGAGTTTAATACTTTAGATTTTGTACATATAAATCAAATAGTTTTCCTAGTCAAACACTGAAAATGTCTTAAAAATCCGTTTCAGACATTAATAGTTTAACATTTAACATTTGAAATTAAATTTTAAACAATTTTATGTATTATTTATTTTATATTACACTCTAATCTACATTAAAGCCTGTCTTAAGGATTCAATTTTTCTGTTTTTTTTCTTGAAATTAGACATTTTTATAGTTTAATACTTTTAACTATATTACTGCATCTTAAATTCTTTAATTTGCTCTAAATCTACTGTTTAATACAAGCATCAGTCTCAATTGCTATAGTGCAACATTAGCAGTTGATCAAAAACTTGTAAATAAAGTACAGTATGTTCATATTGCCACCTCTTTCTTTTCTGACTGCTGCTGGTGTTTGGCCGGTCCTCACATCCTTTCGTGTTAACAGTGGAGATGGTCTAAAACCTGCACGATTTAAAAACATCATTTGAGCACATTGAAAACTTTTACTGGTGAAGCTTGAAAATCCTGAATCAGAAAGAAAGGCCTTTAACCCAGAACAAAACACTGAGCTGTTGACTTTTTAGAGTGCCTGTAAAAAGATGTGTTGCCTTTTTTCAAAAGCACTTTATACAGTTTGTGTGAAAACGTTCCTGTCCGCCTTCTTTGTGGCACAGCATCTGATGGATGAGTGTGTTGTTGGTACATGAATTGCCAAGTGGAGTAAACGGTGATTGTTTTGCTTTGTCGAGCAAAACTCATGTTGATTTGTCTGTGGTGAATGCGCCTGTTTGACAGCAGACCAGGCTCCATGGGGATAGAGTGTAAAAGTGTTTTATGATGGAATATTCGGCTGCACAATCTATTGTTAATATGCAATAATATGTGTTAACACTGGGATGAAATCGCTTTATACTCTATATGTTCCCCTTGAAATAGTCGGCTATTTCTCTGAACAAAAACCTGAGTGAGTTTCAAGTCACATCTAGAATTTTTTTAAAACAATGTTCTTTTCTGCAGACATTTTGTCAGCAGTTTTTAGAACATTCAACAGGCTTTTGTCTGTATTGATGCAGACAGTTCTTGGTTTTTGCACTGACCGGTGTCGTCTGTTGTATTGTGGCCCATGTAACTGTACTAGTGCTGACATTTGTCACTCTTAATGCAGACATTTTGTCAGTGTTTGTGTGCATGTCCCAGTGCCTTTGTGGACATTTGCAATTGTCCATATTTTGTTAATTGTATTATTTTTATCATAATTTTTCCATATATCTGGTAGTATATGTAAATATACTGGTATTTGTCTCTCATTTGACAAGTAAATGTACACATTTGTCAGTTTTGGTTCAAACATTGTGTCGTGGTCACCTGGAGTTATAAGAAATACTTACCTGTTTTGTGAGGACTGTATTTGTGGAGTCATATTAATGTGGAGTCTTTTCTTTCTGCATATGGAGCTTAATCAAAATTGATTGTAATAATAGCAAAGTTGTGCTCATTTACTAAAAGCCTAAACATAAAGATGGTTAGCATTAAGCATCAAAGTTTTTTCTTTTCATGTAGTTGTGAGAAAAACAAGTGATCTCATACCACCACCTCTCAAAGTTTAGAATATATTCTTCTAAGTTTTCAGAAACTAAACAATTAGTTTCTAAACTAAAATTTAAATCAAATTAAATTATATATTTTACATACATTAAATTAAACTCCAATACATTGTGAATTTTAACTTATACACCCAAAACGTTCAGCATATTAAAACTTCGCCTCCACCACTCAGAATCACATCACATCATATGTAGATATGAATTTTCATTTCAGCCGTTCTTGAGTGTAAACCATGTATTTGTTTGAGCGCGAGTGTGTGTGTGCTTGTTTGCGTATCTTGTGGAATTAGGTTAAAATTGAATCCAGCTTTTTTGTTCAAATTCTATGAGAGAACAGTGTAGGTAGAACCCAATCTTAGACAATCAATTCTCAGTGTTGTGTCCAAAGACTGTACAGTAAGAGATATAACCACAGTCACTCAGAGATACAAGAAGAATAGAAAGTTACAAGAGATCAAAGTCAATTGTAAAAATTAAAAAAAAAACATTATTTCAATTACTGGAACATAAAAACTTTTTATTTTTATTTTTACCCCACAACAGTTTTTCCCTGAGGTTGTAAACTGAACTTTTAATATTATTTTTCTTGTACATAATGGGATGTTCTTCAAAAATGTATTATGATGGACCAATGAGAAAGTTTGAACACTTTTTTTGACATGCTGTGAACAGGGACACTATCACCTCAGCAATGGCAGCCCGCGGCATGCTGGAGGAGAAAAGGTATCAAATTGATATTGATATGGGCAGATGTTGCGGTATTGGTATTGGACATGAGAAAGTTGTATCGCAGAGCCATCGGTTTTAAACATCGTGGTTAGGGCCACACATCACATGCGGTCCAAAGGAGAATAAAGAGATTATAGCAGACCAGTTATTTAGCTGATTGGTGAATAATTGATTTCTCATTGGAGAACACTGTCAAAGGTAGTGTTGTTGTTGCCAGTTATTGTAAATCACAATAGTCTAGGTGAACTCTGATTTTATATATTGCCCTCTTGACTAAAGACTGTGGAATATTTAGAGCGAGACCTCGAATGGTAGCTGTGCCATAATCATTTTTGTTTTGCCTGGACACCGATGTGTTGTCTCTGTAGTTTAGACCATTATGCCAGGCAGTCATATTCAGGTCTGGAGTTTCCTAAGTCATTGGAAAAACAGGCAACATGGTGACTGGAAATGATGAGTAGAGAAAGTGTGTCTTGAATGGCGTCAGTGTTGTGCTTTGACACTTCACCACTACGACTCATCACCTGTAATGTTAAAATTGTATAAATGGAAAAAAAAAACTTTTGTTGAATGTCAGAGAGAAAAAATATTACAATAAAAGGGTGAAAAACTAAATGTGTATTAAATTATGTACAAAAATGATTTAGAAAATTTAAATTCAATTTACTATTGTGTTTGTATGGTATTTACCATTGTGTTGGCAGAGGGATGTTAAAACAATTCAGCTGTAATAAAGTAATTTTAGTATAACACAACTGTGTGTCTTCTTTTAGTCCTTTTGTTACTTTCCTTTGTCATTCTATGACATCTTTGACTTTCTATTTTAGCATGAGGGGGGGCGTGTGAATATTAAACGTAAATAACCAAAAGAAAGTAGGAGTAAAACTGATAATATGAGGTTAAGCAAGTAAAATCACTATTCATAGCAGACTGGTTACTTTATTTTCATCAGAAAAATCTATGTTGCCGTTTAAAAGAAACATATATTTTCATTCCACATATATATTTGCATTCCAGTTCCATTACTTAAGTTAATATAATGCATTCCCCACCATTCTTATTAGCTCCTGCTCTATCTTCTCTTTAAATTAGGGTTAGACTTTTCCTTTTTTTTAATGACATTAATCTATGTAACTAATCTTTAAATACTTACATCATGTTGACAAATTTGAAAGAAAATAAATCAGACATAGTTATTCTAATATTATTTCGGGATAACATATATAGTTGTGGAACACTACTTCTGCTTTTTTCGTAGTTTTTTGTTTGATTTTTGTTTTTTAAACTTAATTTTTTGGACACCTTGATCATGTTCTTGAACATTTTAATATATTTAAGAGAGGCAGCGAAGAAGAGGAAACGGAAGAGGAAGAGGAAGAAGCTATACCTACAAGAACTATTTCCGGGTCAGTTCTTGTTGCGCTTACAGCAGAAGACAGCGTAAAAATGATTTCCACGTAAAAAGTAATATTAATAGCTTTAAGAAATTTGGTTAGGCAAGGGTTATTTATTCAGTCTTTAATACGTGTTTCGATTAAAGAGCTTTACTTCGGCTTTCAAGAAGTTTATCCTGAAAATGGCTCCAACGATTCAGACACAAGCGCAGAGAGAAGACACACATAGGTAAGTGAAGGCGTCAATAGTACGGCTAAATAATATTTCAATTCCTTGTGAATTTATCCTTGGAGCGTTGTGATTTTGTAGTTAAAAAAAATCTGCGTTTAATAATTATTCCGGTTCTTAGTTAAGCGCACCCTGTTGGTTTAGTAGCTAAGATTAGCCTAAATGCTAACGGCAACTTCAATAACTGCAGAACCAAAGTGCTTGTTGTTTTTAAAGACAAAATAAAGAAAACAGAGCTTTTCAATGAGCTTTGTTCATATAAAATAGTAATTGTCAAGTCAATGTTATCTGTATAGCATAACTTCACAAAACACATTTTTGGCTTTGAAGTTATTACGTGAAAATGCCCCAAAACCCTGAAACACAGTCTATGGATGTAAATAAATGTCAGTGTTTGTTTGGGTAGGCTTTATTGTTTTGTTTTTGTTTGAATCTATCATTGTAAGCTGTTTGGACAATGGAAGTTCCGTATGCTGTAAAACATGATGTATTTTAATAAAGTAATCACATTAACAAAACTTTCTGTTTCAGTCGACAATCATCTCATCGGACTGTCCCAGAGAGGTGGGTAAAATTACTTGTGTGTTCACTAATTCTTTCAATGAAATGTCATGTCAGTGAAATAATTAATTTATTTGTGAAAGTCCAATATAACCCCTAACGCTAACACTGATGTGGTCCTTTTACAGGTCGGGTGTGGTGTGTCGAGTAAAATACTGCAACAGCCTGCCTGATATCCCTTTTGATCCAAAATTCATCACGTACCCATTTGATCAGCACAGGTAAATACATTCTGACATGTCTCTGCACCAAGCAGGAAATGACCTCATGTTCTTGTTTCTGTAGAACTTGTCGTGTGCTGCCTTTTTATATATATATATTTTATTTTATGCTTTGTATTGTCATTGTACCACGGGGATACAACGAAACTGAGCCTCTGCTTTTAACCCATCACCAAGGAGAGCAGTGGGCACCTTTTTTTTTTTTTTTAAGCGCCCAGGTTGCAGTGTGTGCATGTAGAAAAATAACAGTGTTGGGTTTTTCTTTTGCTCATACCCAAAGAGCTAATCTAAGGTTGAGGTTTGCGTACAGAGCCCTTTGCTAAATCATGCTATAAATACTGTGCATTAACACAGATTTAAAATGAATGAACCTTTATATGTATGAATCCCAAAACTTGCCAACATAAGACCAACACAGCATATTGAGGATACTAATGGAAGTAAAACATAGATCAATTGCTCTTCAAGCTCCATAAATCTGGCTAAAAGCTTTAACATGACGCACACCACTTGGTGCTTTAGGGAAAAGTATCCAAAAGTTTTTTTTGTTGTTTTTTTTTTTTGGTGAAGGTTTGTTCAGTACAAGGCCACTTCTTTGGAGAAACAGCACAAGCATGATCTCCTGACTGAGCCTGACCTCGGAGTCACAATTGACCTCATCAACCCTGATACATACCGCATTGACCCGACCAGTAAGAAAACATCATTTGTGTTGTTCACATGATACGTCCAAATCAAACGTTTATGTGTCAATTCAACCAATCTGTTCAAATTATCAGTATTGTTGGATCCTGCTGATGAGAAACTACTGGAAGAGGACATCCAGGCTCCATCAAGCTCAAAGAGGTAAGAGGTTTTTTCATTTGTCACATTACGTTAGGTCCATCAAATTAGTTTTGTTCCAGTGTAATATGCAATTGTCGAAGATGCGATTTGATATTTTTCCCTCTCTCAGGTCACAGCAGCACGCTAAAGTCGTTCCCTGGATGAGGAAGACAGAATATATTTCTACAGAGTTCAATAGATACGGTGTCTCCAACGAGAAAGTGGAAGTGAAGTACGTTTTCACTTTTAAATCATTTTGGTTGAATGCTGCTTGCTAACAGATGCTGTATAACTGACTGGCATGAATGTGTTTCCTGCGTAGGATCGGCGTGTCCGTCAAACAGCAGTTTACGGAGGAGGAGATCTACAAAGACAGAGACAGTCAGATTTCTGCTATTGAGAAGACATTTGATGATGCACAGAAACTGGTAATGTATAACCATAGCAGGTTTGGAAACCATATGAGATTATGAAGCTAGAAAACATAAGGTCCATTATATGCTAGTGAAATATGCATATATTTTTCAACTAAAATCTGAATACCTTTAGACAAGTCATTGAAATTGAACTGCTTGATTTAAACATTGTCTTTCTCCTCAGATTGCTCAGCACTACAGTAAACCCAGGGTCACTCCGGTTGAGGTACTTCCTGTGTTCCCTGACTTCAAGGTGGGGTCATCACTAAAACCACTCATTTTGTTTTTTTACACACTGATAATTAACAATGTAGAAAAGAGAGATGTGCAGTGTTAATTCCTCTTTAAAGGTGGTTTCACTGAAGTTTGTATTTTCAATAAAATACCATTGTATTGTATGTGTATGGTTCTTCTACAAGAATCATATACAAATTAATTCTGGGAAGGGGTGAGGGCCTGGGACTGCAACTAAATAGTTTTGCTCATTCACTTGAGTAATAAATGTCACAAATCAGGTCCAACTTCTTCCTGTTTTGAATCGCATTCATTAAACAATTGAAACCCCCCAATGTGTCTTAGATGTAGTTTTAACCTCTTCCTTTTTTTCTCCCCTCAGATGTGGATCAACCCATGTGCTCAGGTCATCTTTGACTCAGACCCTGCCCCTAAAGACATCTCAGCACCAGCAGGAGTTGACATGATGTCACAGGCTATGATCAGGTGCTGTTGTCCAGTGATTGGACTTTTGTACTTTGTGCTTTATTTTCCTGCTCATTTATTAAGTCATTGTTGTCTCTGTTCCACAGAGGTATGATGGACGAAGAAGGAAATCAATTTGTCGCCTATTTTCTGCCTCATGAAGAAACTCTTCGTAAACGGAAAAGAGACGTTGAGGAAAGCATGGATTATATGCCTGATGACTTGTACGTAAATTTTTTTTTTCATTTTTAAAGTTTAGTCATATTTTAAATTAATACAGTATATAATTTAATTTTGTTTTTGTTTTGTTTTTTGCTTAAGGTACGATTACAAGATTGCCAGAGAGTACAACTGGAATGTGAAGAACAAAGCCAGCAAAGGCTACGAAGAAAACTACTTTTTCATCTTCAGAGATGGAGATGGTGTTTACTACAACGAGCTGGAGACAAGGTCAGTTGTCTGAAATAGATGATGTCCAATTCACTTTTTTTTTTGTAACTGTAAATTGCCAAGTAACTGCAGTAATTCAAAAGGTCTGATCTGTTGAAGAAGTGTCATGAAGAGTATTTTTTCATTAATTCTCTGCTAATTTTCTTTTTTTCTTTCTGCAGAGTTCGTCTGAGCAAAAGAAGGGCTAAGGCTGGAAGTCAGTCCACCACTAATGCTGTGCTGGTTTGTAAGCACAGAGACATGAACGAGAAAGAGCTGGAGGCTCAGGTGAGTCGAGCTTCTATTTAAGATCTTTGGCAACATGGGTCACCATTTGACACTGAAGAAATATCTCTGTCCACCTATAACACCTGGATCTATGCTCATTTTATTCTCATGATTTCCTTCACGTCATTAATGATGTTGTTCGACTTTTCATTGTGATGATCAGGAGGCCCGTAAAGCTCAGCTGGAGAACCATGAGCCTGAGGATGAAGAAGAAGACATGGACAAAGATATGCAAGACTCTGGTCAGTTGTCCTTTCTCTATACAGTGTTTTTCACTTTGGTTTCAGTGGCATTAAACATCCCTTGGTAATAGTTTTAAACTCAGTAAAAATAAATGACTGAGACGACAGAAAAGCCTGTCTTGTCTTTTATCACTAACACCAAAAGCTACATTTACAACATCCCTGATTTTTTTTTTATGTCACTGTTTAAATGACGGTTGTTTTCTCCAGGTGATGAGAAGGATAAGGGAAGCGGCAGTGAGGAGGAGAACTCGGCCAGTGACTCAGAAAGAGAGGACCAGGAGCACAGAGAGGATGATGAGGACGAAGACAATGATGACATCGAGAACAAAAATAAGAGACAAAGAAATGCCAGTGGCAGCGGAAGTGAAAGTGGTGAGGAAAGAACGCGAGAGATGCGAGACGAGGAGGAGATCTTCGGCAGTGACGACGACAGTGACAACGAGCCGCCGAAAAACTCAGAAGCCAGAAGTAGCGGAGATGAAGGCAGCGGCAGTGAGGACGAAGGAGAGAACAGGGGCGGCAGCAGGGGCGGCAGCAGGGGCGGCAGCAGGAGTGGCAGTGCGTCGCCCGCTCACAGTGACCGTAGCAGTGAGCATTCAGAGAGCCGAGGTCAGAGCAGGAGCAGGAGTGGGAGTGAAAGAGGCTCAGACTCCAGTGACGCCAGTGACAGTGAATAAGGTCTGTGGTCGTTATGACAGTGTTTCTTACCTGTACATTTTTAACTTTCAAACAGTGGAAGCCACAAGTGTGTGGCTTACACTGTAGATAGTTTTGTAGATTTAGCTCATCAGTGTTTCAGCTTGGAAGAGGTTTTATATCAGGTTAAAAAATGTCAACCCACCCTAAACCTTGACTTTTGCCCATCAGTAAAAACTGTTTCCACCAGACTCAAAGAATGGTTTGGTATCATGAATCTTTGTTGCCACCATGGTGTAAGGGCAGTGAAGAGATGGGAAATAAGACATGTAGAGGTGAATGTCTCCCTCTAATGGCATGTCCTCCAATATGCACACCCAGTAAACCATTACCTGGACTTTTTTGTAATATGTAATAAATTACTGTATTATTTTCCTGTTAGCATGAAAGCTCAACAGACAGTTGACTGTCAGAGAATTGGCAATGCATTTTAAAAGCAGCATATTTAGGGATTTGAAATATCTTAAAATTCAAATGTTGCATTTTCAGAAAATAATTATAGCTCCACAACTAGGTCCATTCCAATGTCACAAATAAACAATAAAATCATGAACTTCACTTTTGTTCTTAGTGTTATTTCATGTTTTTATGTTACAATCAAAGATGTGAAAAACTAGAGTTTCTTAAAACACTGACAACAAATTACAGGCAAATTACAGGCAAACACACAGTGTAGCACCAGTGAAACAACAACTAAACAAAAACAATTTACAAAATTTCTCAGTTTGTTTTTGAAACAATAGCTGAGGCCAGTGTAAAGTCACTGTTAACTGTTAAAATGAGAGGATCTGTTATTAGATATCAACAAAATTATATTCTGTCAACTAGAAAAAACAGAAAAGGCAACATATTGTCCATAACACAAGCTCAATTAAATAAATCTTCATAATTTAGCCCAATTTAAACAACCCCACTCTGTCAGAGGGTTTATAGATGTATCACATTTTGTGAAAGTGATTTATTACAGAACATGGCCCTCGGTGATGGCTAGCCGATGTTTCCTTCCAACACCATTTACTAGGAATGTCCGAGATATAACCAACATTGACGGAGCATGCCCGCACAGATTTTCTCTTACAGGGCCCACCAGATCTTTGTTGTCTTGCCTGTGCACTTTCAGTTTTGCTAAGAACCTACAAATACAGAGAAAATCATATTTAAAAACTCTCTCCGACATTCTAATTCTGATCTATTGAAAAGCACTGACCTTATCATTTAATGTCTCCATTTCTATCACTATGATATCAAAGTCCTCTTTTGAATCTGCAGCCTCAAAAGCTTCTCCCATGGGACAGGTATTCATGGATGCTGGTGAACATCAAAAAGTAGAGCTTGTGAGAGTCTGGATCCAAATAAGTTCAGCACCACATGATCATCAGGCAAATGAAGGAAGTGAAGGTTATATTATGAGAAACCCGAATAAGATTTTTTTCATTTTTATTCTACAATTTTTTTCTACTGATCTTATAATGCAAGAGAATTTCCTAGCTTGGGCAAAAAAAAAAATTTGTCTTTCTCTCAATGACCCTGATGATTGATTCCTACAATTACATTTCAATTGTATTTGCTGTTTATTTTTTTCCCATATCTATTTTTTTTTTTTTTGGTTTTCTTTTGAATACTGTATTAACGTTATAAAAACACTTTAAATACTTCGTCCAATCATTCAGAAGCCTAGCTTCCATGTCTGCCTTCCCCCAATGACTTCCTAGTCTTTGCGGAAGTGACGTTTATTGCGTCACCCATCCATTCGGAGTCCTACAGTGAAAAGAAAAATATCCAAATGATGCCTCACGGAAGAACTGTATGGAATGAGAAAAAAAGTTGTACCAGCTAATCTGTAATAAACCACTGATTCTAATTGAACCAGCCACATAAGTGTTTCGGGACACTTAGTGAATTAAATGTAACTAGAACCGTATATATGCGACCATATTACCTTTTTTAAAGGAGGGCTTACTCTGCTGTCCTGCAATAATTGCCAATTAACAATGGTAATAAGTGGGGAAAAATACGGCAAAAGATGTATTAACATAAATGTTATATACACATAACACTGGAATAATTGTATTTTTCTTTAATCAGATAGACCGGCCCCAAACGTCTCCTTGAATACTGACATCCGTGGGTTGTTCTAGATTTCCTCCATCAGGGGGCAGGGCAACAAGTGAAGGAAAAAGAAAATTCCCAAGAAAAAAGTCATACAGACTCGACCACCGCATCTACTGTGTGGTTTCTTGTTGAATAGTGACCAAGCACATCTGGTTTGATTCGCTTTTACAGTTTTTCTTTTGTTCTAACGAACGAGACATTACTGTTACCCGTGATTCACGCGTAGACATGGACGTTCTTGTGTAACAGTAAGAATCATCCGTGAGAAGACGACGAAGATCTGAGACAGACAGAAAAAACAGTTCCCGTCTGTGTTTCAGTCAGGTAACAACAGCACGTGTTCATTTGTTATTTTGTTTGTTTGTGTGTTTGTGGTGTTCTGGTTCTTTTTGTCCTTTTTCCCTCGGTTAACGGTGACCTGTTAGGACCCGTAGTTGTCATGGAGACCAAAACCTGGCCCCAACATTACATACTTTTATCTACTGTATGTCGGATTTTTGTCTGGTTTAAAACTAAAACATTACGTTTAGGTTCGTTATGACTTAGTTCGCTAATACTGCCGAAGATTTGGGGTGGATTAAGGTAAGACTGTCCAAATCAGTGGAAGGCAATGCTAAGTCCTCACGACGTGAGGCATTTAAAGAAAGAAGGGTAGGATTTGACGACATTTAAATGTGAGGTAGTTAGGAAAAAATGCAGTTCAGTCGTTAAAGGACATTTTAACATCGTGTGGTTGTTTTGCTAGCCTCGTGTTAACATTTATAGAGGACATTATAACTCGAGGACATGTTGGTCATGTAAAAATCCTCTCAAGACCACGATGACACTGTAATACATGAAGAAAAGCATGGTTTAAAGACAATTCAGACGGATTTTTTAAAATTAATATATATTTTTAGAATGTCTGTTTGTGAGAATGTTTTTAGGTGAGTGATAATATTATATAAGTTTGAACAAAGTCAATTTGTTCCTTTTTATATTGGGAACCATGGTGATGGCAAAGTGTTGAGGACATTGTAATGTCATCTTAAAGGATGATTGGACAGCATGAGAAGATTGTATTCAAAAAGTTGATTGGACAGCATGAGAAGATTGTATTTAAACATATTGAGAGGACATTTAATGTTGAGTCATCTGCATATGCTTTATTTGTAAGAACCATTTTTTCAGTTCATGAGGCGGTAAGTATTTAAATATGTTTTCCTGATTCAACAGCATGGCATTTAATATCCGCTCTCCTCTGTTATGTGCAGTGGGAAGCATCATGTCTGTGCGAGTTTCATCTATGAGTGTTTTTCCACCTGTTCGAAGAGACCGCATCATCGGTCAGCTTCCTCAGGTAAATTTCACTGACCTTGGACTGTAATTGTCACATCCACAGACAGTAGAGACAAACCATAAACGTGTCTGTTTTCTCCTGCAGTGTTTCAGGAAAGATGCCGCTCTCCACACAAAAGAAGAATTCAACAACAAGGTGAAGACGGCCTGCCAGGAGCAGCGCACTGGAACAGTGGGGTTAGTGCTGATAAAGTTATACACAAGTAAATCATTTGTTTTGGATATAAAAATAGATTTGAATGAAATACAAGGAGTATTTAAGCCAAGGAACAGAGGTTAGGACCTCACTGAAATGATAGAGACCGTGTGGTGGGTTAGCGACACTGAGAATTCATTAAAAAATAACACTCACTACTGATAAAGCAGTGAATCAACAGGAACAATGTCATATGATTAAGAAGATATAAATTATTGTTTTTTTAATGGACATACTTTAAGTTGCAGTTGTATAAGTTGTTGTTTATTGATTTTTGTCAGATTAAAAATCTCCAAAGTCATTGTTGTGGGCGACCTGGCTGTTGGAAAAACCTGCCTGATAAACAGGTAAGTTGTAACACTTTAAAGTAGCAGACTGACATGAATCATGAGTTCAAAAACTTGATCAACAGACACAAAATACTCCTTGGTAGAAGTATATGTCTTTGTCCTTTTTACTATTATAATTTTAAAATGCATTAAGGTTTAATAAGCCATTTATTCTGACAATTGTCATACAATAATATCATTTTGATAATTGTGTTTTAAACTTGTACCTTCAAAAAAAAACCTTCATTTGACCACTCAAATTTCAATAATTCATCAAGTTTTTTCCCTGTAAAACAGAAGTAGACTTTGTAGAGCGATATAATGTTTGTTTCTCGTTGTACCTTTATTTGTTCTGAAATCATTTACTTTGTCTCAGATTTTGCAAAGATGCGTTCGATAAGAACTACAAGGCAACAATCGGCGTGGACTTTGAGATGGAGCGGTTCGAGGTGTTGGGGGTTCCTTTTAGCCTGCAGCTGTGAGTCTGCTTTGATATTTATCACTTCACATTAAACACATCAGCAGAATGTGGAGCTCGGAACAAATGCATATTCATATATATATATAAATGATACATAATACATATTCACTAATATCTCTAATTAAAACACAACATTTTATGCGGGTTAACCGAACTAAATGTGGGTTTGTGTGCTTTGGTTTAACCCAAAAGAACTCCCACTCTCAGTGAGCAGTCACTTTTTCCATTACAGATGGGACACTGCTGGCCAGGAGAGGTTCAAGTGTATTGCCTCCACGTATTACAGAGGAGCTCAGAGTAAGACATTTGTGTGTTTAACTGCAGCAAAGCAAAAAGAAATGTACCAGACCCCGTCCTCGTTCCATTTGACTGAAGATTTATTTCTGTTCATCTAGTTGTGATCATTGCCTTTGATTTGACCAACGTTGCTTCTTTGGGTCATGTGAGGTAAGTCACATTATTATTGCACTGACCTTTTGCCTCTTATCTTACATTTTCACTAACGTGGTAATTCTTTGTCCAGGCAGTGGCTGGAAGACGCCTTAAAAGAGAACGACCCCACTGCGGTCCAGCTGTTTCTCGTCGGAACCAAGAAAGACCTGAGTGTACGTCTTTGACCCTTCACTCTCTTTGACACAGTAAAGCAGTGGTTTACAACCTTTTTTGGCTTTTGACGCCACAGGTTTCTGGCGACTACAGAGACATAGTGTTAGTTCTGTCTGTTATACTGTGTTTAAAATGAAGAGTAGCACAGGAACTCAAGTAGTGCAGTCACCTGATTGCAGTCGTCAGTGCATTTCATTTGAACGTGATTCATATTCTTTCAAAGTGAAAGAATATTTTTTTATTTTATAATTTCAAAAAGAATAACAATTATTTGAAAAATGTTTTTTATCAGTAACCTTTGTTTAATCAATTTGTCGACATTTCAGTCGACCCCATTTAAATTCCAGGCAACCCCATATGGTGTTGCGACCCCAAGTTTGAAAAACACTGCAGTAACGAGTCAGACTCTTTAGTTAAATGTGAACAGTGTGGGTTGTTGCCGGGTTTTCTAAGCTATTGTTTCCCAGTGTCAGACCTTAAAAATGTGGTTACTCATCAAACCCTCCATCTGACTGTGTCTTTCTTAAAGTTTTTTTTTTTTTAATTTCCAATTCATCATGTTGTAATTTTCCAACATGAATTATGTTCCGTTAAACTCATCTGTCACAGCCATAACTCACAACTCAGGGATCTAATCTATTTTAGTGTAAAGTTAACCCTGCCCATACACATTGCAGAAAAGTGTTTTAGAGACGTTGTTTGGTGAAACCCCGGGGCGGGGACCATTAAAATTCTTGGTGTTAGAACTTAGCTTGAATCATCCTTCCATAGTGTGGCTCATAATAAAGCTTCACGTTTATTCAGTTGACATCTATGCGACCCAGAGGTTTTTAACCAGGCGTTTTTGCTGATGATGCGACTTCACAGAGAACATAGTTTTAGTAACGAACATCAACACAAAACTAAGTTAAAATAATAAAAAAAACTGTTGATGTGGTCAACTTTAAAATGTCACTTCATGTCTGAATTGATTATTTAATTCAGACATGAAGTGTGTTTCCATAGTGTAGTGGTTGTCAAGCCTGCCTTGCAAGCGGAGCAGAGAGTCCTGGGTTCGATTCCAGAAGGAACCACATGTCCCTTATGGCGCCTCCCATGGCAGCCTGTGTCAGCAAAGACTCACACTATAGGTTTCCCCATTGGGGGATGAATAAGGGACCTAATTACTTTTGGTGCAGTGGTGTCCTGGTGGTTAAGGAAGTGGACTTATGTCCCGGAGGTTGCAGGTTTGAATCCACCAGCCACCACTGAGGTGTACTGAGCATGGCATGTGTTCACAGCCCAAATACTTCATATAATATAATAGTATAATACTAAAAAAAAAGAACTACAGTTGTGCTAACTTTTCTTTGTCTCTGACTCTTTGACAGTCTCCTGCCCAGTATTCCCAGATTGAACGAGATGCCCTGAGACTGGCTCAGGAGATCAGTGCTGAGTTCTGGGCTATGTCGTCACTGACAGGTAAGAGTGTTGATTAGAACCATTGACCTGCAGAAGAAAAGGAAACATACAGAGGTCGAAGGTACAGAGCAGCCTGGATGTAGTGTCACTGATGATGACTGAGGAGATTCAGTCACAGATGTGATGTTGGAGGACTATTTGTAAAGAAGTCCTACCTACATCAGCTTCAGCTTCAGTTACTCAGACTAAAGTCAGGTTCACCCTAAGGTCTCTGAATTGTGTAATTGTTTGGACTGAGACCTTAAACACTGGAGATTACATTTGGTTTTAATTTGAATATTTTCCTACTCGACCCTGGACTGACCTTGCAGTGTGACATGTCGAAAAGGATCAGTTCATTTTGCTCTTTGCTAGGTTTTATCACAGGTCAAATGTGTTTGTAAAGCTGTAAATTAAACTAATGCTCTTTACATTTCCACCATTCCCTAAGTTCTCCTCATTCTATTTGTGAAGGTGAAAACGTGAAAGAATTTTTCTTCAGAGTTGCTGCACTGGCGTTCGAGGCCAATGTCCTCGCAGAGCTGGAGAAAAGTGGATCTAGACAGATCGGAGAAGTTGTTAGTGAGTAATCAGACGTCGGTCTCTGTGTAAAACACGAAGACACAGAGTTGGTGACAGGTCTAAGCCCATTTCTGCTCTTGCTCTAGGAATAAACAGCACGTCCAATAGTCTGTATGCTACGTCCAAGAAGAAAGAGCTGAACTGCTGTCGGTGAAGCCACAAATACAGAGAAGAACTGTACAGTGTGGACTGAAAGCAAGGCTTTACTGTTCTCAGGCTGAGTGGAGACATTTCTGTGGTCAAAGCAGAATGAGGAGGAGGAGCAGGAGAAGGAGAAGGAAGGCTGGAGGTTTATTTCCTGATATGCATGACTATAGTTTTTCCTGCCGTTGCTTTGAGCTGGACCTCAGAAGGAAAGACATTTTAATGGACCTTAAAGTTGACCTTAAATTCGATCATATAGTGAGTGACACCAAAGGACAGATTTTCAATATGAAATTATTGGCCACTTTATTAGAAACATGTTCAACTGTTTGTTTATGTTTAAATTTTACATACAAACAGTATGTAAGTATATTAGTCGTATTTAGCGGACATCATAACAGGGTCACATGTTCCTCTGACATGCGGCACATCCACCTTGACTAGTACGAGTCTGACAAAGAACTGCTGGCTGTGGAATCATAGCAGTTTTATTTGTTAATCTTCCACTAATTTGTAAGAGAAGAATGTACGCAGTATTTCTTAAATTGCTCTATGTTTATAATGAGTTGCTTACTCAACGTTGAGCCTGTATTATTTTTAGCAGTAATTACTTAATTGGTGTTTGATTTACTTATTGTTTAGTGTAGTTTTTAAAGGGAAAAACAAAACAACAGTGTTTAGCGCTCATGCTCTATTAAAAAGAAATACTGACGCAAGTTAAGTCCAAAAATGCAATTTTTACCTTTCTTAATCATTTTTTGTGTGTTTGTTTATATTTTTGACTATTTTGTGAATGCATTGTAGTTTTTGTAATTAGCAGTAATTTGCTTGAAATGAGGAAACAAGTTATGTGTGTGTCTGCACAGACAATAAGAGGTCTATGGAATAATAAAGTGTCTGATGGATGCCTTGACTGACAAATACACGCATCATCCACATCATCACAATACCATGTGAATTATTACCAAATGGATTCAACATTTTCTTATTGGTTAACACAGTCAAATCCTGAGAGAAATCACTGCCAAGAACAGTCGTCACGTCAAGTTTGTTAGACGTTTAATTGCACTTACCAGAGTTTGCCTTTTAGCTGTGCAGCATTATGTAAGTAAAAAAAAACTGGATTAAAAAAAGTTATTTTACATAAACCCTATTGCAAATACAACATACTGGCAGAACCTAAAATGTAAAAATCAACTTCAACTCTTGAAGCTTTTGAAAGATTCCAGAAATTTCCGATCAATCTGGCACTGCAGCTCCTCAGGGACGCAGTGAGAGAATTTGTAGTTGTCTTTGATCCATTTACCTCCTGGAGTGTTTTCAATGGCCACAGCTGCTACACCTGCACACAGAAATGCATCAGGTTTATTTATGGTTTTTTTTATTTTTTTTTACTAATTATCAACAATGACAAAGTGACATCAGGGGACTGACCTACAACAGTTGCTCCCAGTTTCTCCACTAGTTGGATGGCAGCCTTCATTGTGCCTCCTGTCTCTATCCACTGATCCACTAACAACACCCTGACGCCTGCACCACAGAAACAAACATCAGCTACACACTTACTGTAAGTCACTGTTGGCTACAGTATTGTCATTGGTCACAGGGCTGTTTAAAGCTTGTTATAGTAAGACTTCTCCAACATGTCATGTTTCATGTTAAGAATTCTAGGACCAATATATATAGTTTGTTTTTCCTCCTTGACTGACTAAAGATATATTACTGATATATTACAGTACTGACCTGGTTTAAGGACATCCAATCTGACTTCCATCAACTTATCCCTACTTGTATAGTCAGAATATTTCTCGTTCTTAGTAGCAACACACAGATGTCCTGCTTTACGAATGGCCAGGAAACCTTTTCCGAGAGTTGTGGCCACTGATGCCCCTGGAAATGACAGACAAAAACGTATTAACATATAGTTTTAAACATGGGTATCAGGTAGCTTTTCAAAGGTTTCCTCAAGTTAAAAAAATAATGTAAATATCCTTGACTTTTTGATCAAACCGTTACTCCAGCCCAGAGGTTCCCACACGTTTTTGGCCGTGCAAAAAAACAAAAACACAACAAGCTTTCTTATTAATGTGTCTTAGTTTATTATGCTCAAATGACCAGAGCACATATATGTGTGTATATATGTATGCATTTATTTATTTAAAATGACAGCTCTTGATTTCAAAGTTTACAAAGTAAATGTTTATTTACACGTCTTTACTGTGTGGAGAACTCCCACTTAAAAAACGTTCCAAACCGCCATCACATTTTCAATCTCGAGCACCCTCTAGTGGCAGCTCTACCACACTCGCACCACGCCTTGGGAATACCTGCTCTGGCCCACAGTACCACACTCGCACCATGGAATGGGCCTTGGGAATACCTGCTCTGGCCCACAAAAGCAATTTTAAAAAGTAAGTCTTGCTAACAGTTATTAATTTAAAAAAAAAACTCCATCTTTTTATTTTTACACATTTTTGTTCTATTACTTTAACTTGTGTTTAATTTTGAAATGATTCTTGTTACCCTTTTCTAGGTAACAAGAATCCAGAAATGTAGGTGTGTTCATAAACGGTGAGCACCTCATGTGAACAAGTCCTCGACTGGTTTAGTACAGAGAGGGGAAAAAAAGAAAGGTTGGTGGAACTCGACGTCGTCCAGCATGCACATAATCATGATCAAAAAACAACAATCGTCTACAAAAGACTGCACTGCAAGTAACAAGGGCAACAACCTGAAAGCAACAACCTCCTAATATAGCAAATGAAGTCCAGAGAAATAACAGAAGTCAGCACCTAACTGTTAAACTGTCTCTTCACGTCTGCCTTCCCTCACATACACACAAACCAGCTGACTAACTTGTGCAGCTGAGTGGGGTCAGATTTCCTGCACTGTCTCTTAAAATAAAGTTTGTGAGACTCACTGTAACTGGCTTTACTCTATCATTGGTTTATCTTTTGATGTAATTCATATTTTCTTACCCAGGATAAATCCCATGGCATCTATGCCAGCTACAAGGTCGATGTCATTGCCCTGGAATGGACTGAGAAGGTCTGACACACAGTCTGTGAGGGCCTGCAGTGTTTAACCACAGGACAAAATGAGAACATGATTATGATAATTATAATTATATTGTTTTTACTCACCATACCTGGGAGTTGCAGTAAAGCCTGGAAGGATCCAGCCATGCAAAGGCTGGCCCCTTCGTGTTGGGGGCCATCAGAGACAGGTACCAGCCTTTAGGCCGTTTTACAGGGACAGCCAACAGGTCCATCCACATAGGTCTGTGTCCCAGGGTGAAAGTAGTGGACGGAGACTGAGAGACTCTCAGATTTCAGAGGGAAGGGAGTCATGAGTGGGAAGGGGCTGGGAGTTAAAGCTGTAACAGTTGGCAATTGCATGCTATGAAGTCATTTACACTTCATATATTTACAGAGATTTATATCAGAGAGAAAGTACAGTTGAATTTCCTTACTATAATATTAGAGATTACTCAGCCATGTACCTAAACTGTACCGCATTGTTTTACTGTCCTTGCTGCTTAATTTAACTCTTTAATAGTAACTGTCGATGTCAATGTAATTGTCGATGGCGGACAAGATGGCGCCGGTGTGTGTGGCCTGTCGTCTGTCACTGGCTGTGTTGTGTGTATTTGTGCTGTTCTTTTCGATTGTTGCTGTTAATGTCGACCCACTGTGCTGCTGAATCTTCGATCCCCTGACGAAGATCTGTTAAAGTTCGTTCATGGTGGACGCAGAACTTTGCCCCCGCACCTGGTGAGCATCTTTAACCACCTCTACACCAACCGGGTTCCACTTATTCGGCGTTGTCGACGCCGGTTAAGACGCAGCCCAATGGTTGCAGCAACTTTTAATTCTGACGCCGGTTAAGACGCAACGGTCGCCGAACTTTTGCCCAATGGTTGCAGCAACTTTTAATTCCCCGCGGATATCAGGCCGAGGAGGAGGATTGGCTACTGTTTTCAATAGTCATTTTAAAGGTAAGCAGCTTTCATTATAGTCGTTTACCAGCTTTTTGTTTATTTGAGCTGTTTTGCTCTCACACAGTGCTGTGTGCAGTCATCTTTCGGCCGCCTAAATACGACAAAGACTTTGTCAATGTTTTTGCTGATTTCTTGGCTGAGGTTATACCTAAATATGTGACCGTGTTCTTATCGTTGGGGTGTTTAATAGCCACGTATGTTGTCCTGATAAGCCAGTAGCTAATTTCTTAATCTTGTTGACTCTGGATCTTGTCTTATCATATGCAGCCAGTTCTTGACTTGGACATTTGTGATGCAGTGTTTTCGGATCATGTCCCTGTGTTATTGGAGGTTGTTCTTGGCTGAACTACAGTTAAATCTGGCGCTGCTGCTCGACGTATCATTAACCCTTCCACTGCTGTTCATGGACTGTAGTAGGACATCCATTTTTGATCCGTTTCAAAAATGATAACTACAAGGTCCAGTTTGTAACGCTGTCAAATAGTGTTTTAATTCCCTACATCAGGACTACATCAGTACATAATGAAAAAGACGTAACTTCCACAGAGACCTGGCTTCACCACAGCATATTGATTTGGCAAACTGTTTATAAGGTACCTAAATAACTGGGCCTAAAATGAGCTTCTGTTTCTGCAGATGTAGATCCTTCTGTTTTTTAGTAACCTAATGTTAACCATGTAATTGTGTCTTTTACTTTGCTGACAGTTTTCCTACACTTAATGCTTAAAAAACTTAATATATTGTCGTGCCTATAGTATCGCAATATATTGCAATACAATGTATCATCCCCCAGGTATCGGATACATGTCTTATCACCTATATCATATTCTTGCCAATACTTGTTAGCCACAACTCCATGTGTTATGAAGTATAGCGTTCTACCTCTGTGATCATCGTCTGAGAACAGCACAAAATGTGACCATAGCGGTTGACATTAACCCATAAATCAAATGTTCCCATATCCTTGGTGTTTATTCACTATGTAGCTAATCTTATAATGTGGTGGCGCGACCTTTTGCTTGCAAGCTGTGACTTGCATTATGTGACTAATGCACCAGGACTTCACTTACTGTGTGCTCTATCCTTGTTTTCTTTGTAGTCACTGCATAAAAATGGGTGGTCATTTTTGAATTGGCAGTTAACTGCCAAGTTGTATTATGGCATGACCTATTACTGTTTGGATTTATTATTATTATTATTATTATTATTATTATTATTTTATTTTGGTTGAAATAGATGGGTAGAGAACAGATAGTCATTGAAGAAGTATGGGGTGTTAGGTTAGTAAGGAGAGTGCAGGAAGGATGATGCAGAGTGGAAAGTAGGAATGCACTGATACTGGTATCATGATAAGGACTGGCCCATCTTGCAGTACAATGGAATTATCTTTTAAAACGTTTTTCTTAATCTGTTGAGTCACTATTGAGTCACTGGTGCTGGCCACAAAAGACTGGTAGAAGATCTCCAGCATCTTTCTGCACACAATAAAAGGTCTTCATCTTCCTCAGAAACCTAATCTGGTTTCCACAATGCTGCCAGACTGGGATCCTTATTATGACTGTAAATAAACTGATAAGTGTAATTTTACAGAGGAATTGTACAACAGTTATCACATGGGAGACACACTGAGCTCAGCACTGTGTTGGCTTTGCTATCTCACACAGTTCAGTATGTCCTGAACCTGATGAACTCACAACAGAAATAATATAGGCCTGTATGTGGCGCTGTGTCCACCACGCTGTAATCAATCATAACAATCATTAACAATCATAACCTAATAATAATAATGATTTGAACTATATTGATTCCATATTTGAGAAATTCTTGTTATAAATAACAATTTAACATTAACAAGTCCATGTTTCTTTTTTGTTTTCATGCAAAGAAGTACATTTATTTTAATAATGTATTATGTATTCATATTTATTGAATTATAATTTTACAAAAAAATTCCTGAATCTGAAATGTTTGTGTATTTTTCTTATTATCAGAATTTTTCAGGCAGGCCGAATTGAACAGCCTAGCGGGCCGGTTTTGGCCCACAGGCCGTATGCTTGTCACCTCTGGCCCAAAGTATGGCCAAACATAACTATAACATTTTGAATAATTTTTATTGTCATTAAAACAAAACAAACTGTTTGGTCTCTCACACACAAACAGCATGAATTGAATTGTGTGTCTTTTCTATGAAAACTGAAGTATATTGTTACAGGAGATAGAAAGGCACATTCCCTCACCTGATGTCTCAGCAGGAGTCATTGATCTACATCATGTATATTACATTAAGTGTCACCTTTCTGGTTTTATTTTTCTGGGGAACAGCAGGCGAACCACCATGTCTCCACCCTGCTTCACCTCCAACAGAGACTTTGGTTTCATGAGAACGTCCCTCCCCTCTTCTCTTTCTCAGGATATGGTCGGATGATGCCTCTGGTGATTTTACATCATTTCTCTCCGCCTTCAAACAATCCGATTTCATTGCCATGAGGAGGACCTCCGCCCCCTGGAGCTCGGGGTAAGTCTTGCCATGTGACAAAGCCCTAGGCTGATTAGAAAGATAACCTGATGAAGGGCTGTTTTTTCCCCCCCTGAAAGTAACGGTAGAACTGCGGTCGGCGGTTGTTACAACCACAATGTGAATTATTATGAATTAACTGACACATATTTTTCTACACCCATCCATGCAAGTACACTCCTGGTTTCATAAAAATCCCTCTCAGTTTCAATATATGTCCAACAAATGAAGCTAAGTTCTGCTAAGCTTCTTCACCTGCAACATGTAGAACTTACACAGCTCTACACATCTCACAGTTTACTGCATGCCTTCACCGAGTTCAGTGTTTTGTGTCATACCAATTCTGGTTGAAAAGAACTGTGCCATTTACCATTGTATTAGCAATTCAGTGCCTCATTTGAACCATGTAAAATCTCCATAGTGGGCATGATCAGCTCATTCCCCGTTACCATGGAGAATGGGGCAGGTCATAAACATTCTTCTCCTCATCCTCCCCCTCATCCTTGTTTGTGTGAGTTCCCAGAGTAAATCTCCAGTTTCTAGGGTTTGTGCTGAGGGTTGGGGGGTTGAAAGGTTACTTGCGGCGATTCTTCTCTGCAGTGAGAAGTGAATAGATGCTGAAAATCCATGCACCAAACACACAAAATAACCCTCTCTTCTCAGTCTCCTCTCAATAAACATCTGCTGATATGTTACACCACTTGCTAACATATTGGGCTGCTCAAAAGAACCATCAAATAACCATTATGATTATCTGTCTGTCTGTCATACTATCTATCTATCGCTGTGTAATTGAGAAACGTGGTGACGTAAATCATCTCGACACTTTAATTATGTCCTGACCCCGCCTCCGTCATGTCACTTATTGCGTTAATGATCATGCCACTCTCAGTGGGCGGGGCCGTTGAAGATGCCGGCTAAAAGGCGAGTGCGTCTCTGTTTTAGGCGCCGTGCCGTTCACGGCGACGTAGCACCATGCTGTCCATGCTTTTTCTCTTCGTTTTTCTATCCTACCGGGACAGAAACCAGGTCAGATC